TTTTCTACTATTTTGACTTATACGCCATTTGACCTAACATAGTGTGGAAGACTTATATATTGAAAAGTATAGTACGAGCGATGTATCGTTTTTCGTCATAATGAGTTTTTGCAGTTGGAAGAGAAACATATCGTGTTGTAAACGCAAGGAATGACCTAGCCTGTAATTCTAAATGGAAAGGAAAAGAAGAAATGATTTTTCTCGTTTTAACTCAGAAATCTAGAGAAAGTCTAATCATTAATAATATAAGGCACAAAAACAAAATTTGCTTATTATATGTATTTAGTATTGATTTCAATAAATTGAAAAATAACGACACAAAACAGCTATCTCATCTCTAAGAATGAAAACTAGGCATACAATTTTTATGTAACTGTTAAATATGATTTTTTATCACGGCTATAGCTATATTTAACCCCAAATTGCTAATTATTCCTTTTTGATTATCTTAATTTTTTGCCAGCACGAAAAAAATTACCATGTTAGAGTATCACTGCCCATATACAATATTCGGAAAATCGTGATATATATTTAGCAATTCAAACAACCTTGTTTCATAACTGGATAGAAGAACAATTTCGGGCAAAACATTATTCTAAAAGCGAAATTTCGTCTACGCGATTGATTGCTTTTATGAATTCTCATAGTGCATTTGTTTCGCCTACGACAACGCAATCCTCAAATTCAAAATATCACCACATCACGCTGAATATGAAGGTTTGCATTTGCAAGTGCAAGCAAATAGCCGATATGGTTCTGCTTTGTCATGCACGCATCTCTAATGCAGTTTCATTTCCGTTCGTGATAGCAACAACATACATGTCATTATGTCCACAAAAACTTCGTAAATCCGTCCTGTGGTTGGTATGTGATATGCAAATACTCAGCACGTCGCACTTTCCTCGTAATTAACGTGTTTAAAACTGCAATGAATACTTTTAAACAGTGTTCGAGGTGCAACGAAAATTCGAATGAAATAGTCGCACTGTAAGAATGTGGACCAATTACCTCCAATAAAAATCATAATTACAGAAAACTTATTTCCAGAATTATATTAGTTATTCGTAATCACAAATAAATTCGCACGTCATCATGAGTGCATGTAATCTATAATGTGTTTCTTTCTAGACAGCTAGAGCCAGTATAATAATTCGAAAATTAACATGAAATTTTCATAAACATTTAAAGACTCCACAAGTTATGAACGTTACGCTCTTAACTATTTTTCATGAAATAATGTTTCCTTTTCTCTCTTATTACTAACAAATTCATCTTCTAATATCAGATGTCGATCACACATCTGTTTTTCTATACACGGATTCAAATTTTTAGAACTAAAATGATTTGGTGCTTTCTTCCTTTGCTTTAGTCAGAGTGCAATACATACAGTAAACATCAAAAATAAAGTTCGTGGGCTTCGTTACATTTTTACAAATATCTCCCTTGGCATGTGAAAAAGTATCTCATACCTGCAAAATAAACCCATTTTTTTCGTACATTATTACACCCCAACAGAAATTTTCAACAAACACTCGGAATTTATTGCACATTTGGAAAAAATTACGATACAAATAAAAAACAAGGAACAGTAAGGAACCTTCTTTTCGAATTCGATTTTCTCTTCGAGAAGGAATGAAGGAAAGAGAAACGAGACTGACCATATCAGTCAATTTTCGACATTACTTGTCTTAATTATACTCCGAAATAGTAACTCGAAATCGAATTCTACACCAATATTATTCTTTACGCGCTCTCTGTAAAGTTTTCAGAGAAACATTAATTTTGCTTATTTTTAATTTTTGGCTAAACAGCGTACAACACTACTCTGAGGTAAAATAGGAAACACAAGTCGACGATTGTTAATTTCAAATATTAAATAAAAAGGAATTATCATTATTTTTCAAAAATTCAGCTATATTCAACGAATCCATGTTTTCCTTCATTCTTATTTTTCAGAGACAATTGTAGCAGCTTCCTGGTTCACGATCACTCGAATAACAGAAGGAGAACACACACGCTGGCCGTGCAGTGCAGAAAATTAACTTCTCCCTGCAGCCACTATTACGCGCACAGCTCTCAGACGAGGCCTTGCGCATCGCACGCAGGGCGTACGCACTCGACGGCGGCCACGGCACGAGTGCGCCCGCGCCCTGCGCCCCTCCAAGCCCCACCCCCACCTCCACC